GTCTTGAGGGCTGGAAGGCCGGGCTGTGGGCTGTGGCCCCTGCTTTGCTTCTGAAGCACCATCCAGTCCTGGCCTTTCCCCCACCCTCCCTCCCAGCACAGAAGGCTCCTTCCCACCTCCGGGCCACGGTTCCCCATCTGACTCATGAGGCTCTGATGTCCTAGGGCCCCTGGGCAACACTGAAGAGGCACATTGTGGCCATGATAAGCAGGGCAGGAGCCAGGAGGCCAGCTCTGAGGGTCTCACTAGAACCTCTGGAAACCCCCCTGCGCTGTCCCAGCCAGTGACTGGGCCGACAGCCATGTGGCCCATGTGCCCTTCCCCTCTGAGGCGTCAGTCCTTCTTCCTCAGGGCAGACAGACAGCATCCAGCCACCTCACACCCTCTGGGTGTGAAGCTTGCCAAAATCTGTCCCCAAAGGAGGTTGTCCTCTCCCTCACCCCCATTCCAGTCCACGCCACATGCTGACATCTCACCTCCTGGGTGGTTCTCTTACTCTTCCTCATATCTCCATCTCTGCCGTCTCCACCTTAGTCCGTATCTGGTCATCGCTGGCATGGACTCTGCAGCAGCTTCCCAGCTGGCATTCTCATGCCCCTGTGGCCCCTCCAGTCTGTCCTCCATTCTCCAGTCAGCATGGTCCTTTCGAATGCCCATCTGGCCCACTGCACCGCCACTCCCACCACTCCACCCTTCTGTTTGGAGGACTCCAGTGGTTGTTCTTTAAACATCTTACTGTGGCTACAGGCTCTGCCTGGTGGGGCCCTGGCCGAGCTCCCCAGCCCCTTCTGGCCCTCCGGCCCTTGTCTACAAAAGCTAGCATGCTTCCTCTGCTGTGAATATCACCCCAGCTGTGCTTGGCTCTCAGAGGGGACTTGTTCCCTGCAGTGCAGCTGACAGCCCCCCCGCTGCACCGCCCCTTGCTAGGGCTATCCAGGATCTATCTGCAAGCTGGGGAAGGCATTTTCATTCCCAAACCTGTAACAGAACGTTAACATCGCCCTACCCTGCTTTACTTGACTTCTTACTGAATGAATGAATGAGAGAACTCCCGCACACTTGGAGTTCACCTCTTTAGCTGAAACTTGCTTCTGTGTATGTGCCTGCGTCTGCACATGTGGGCCTGGGGCTGGGCAAGCCCTGGCCTCTGGCTGTCTGGCCTGAATTCCAGCGGGACACTCCTGGGCAGCTCCATATCAATTACAAGTCATCAATAATGCATCCCTTCAGAGCGGCCAGGAAGCCATTAGCTGGCCTGCAGGCCCCGATGAGTGGCCTTGGAGAGAGTGGACTGGGTGTGCCCATGGGAGGTTCAGATCAGCAGGGCAGGAGGGGCTCCCAGCCCCAGCAGAGCTTGGGAGGTTGCCTCCTGGGCCCTCTGTCGCCTGTGAGACCTTACTGCCAGAGGGGTGGCTTGCACCCTCTTGCCCTGCACATAAAGGCCTGCTTTCTTACTCTGTGAGCCCTCCAGCCACCTTTGAGTGCTTTCAGTGCTGGGTTGTCGAGGTTCAGTGTCTGAGCCCAAAGTTAGGGCTGAGTCAGTGTGTGACCAGGTCAGGGCTCAGTGGGTGACCAGAGTCCAGGCTCAGTGTGTGACCAGGGTCAGGGCTTAGTGCATAGCCAGCATGAGGCCGCCATCTTTGTCTTAGCTTTGGGATGGGGTGCAGCTCAGTTGGTGGTTGGAGTTAGGGCCCAGTCTGAAGCCACGGAGCTGAACAGGCTAGCTGGTTTCCCGCATTGATTTGTTCGTGTATTCAGCAATGTTCATCGAATGCCTTTTGCATACCACGCAACAAAACAGACAAGAGCCCTGCTGGTGGAGATGCTCTTCTCCTGGGGGTGCGGTGGAGGTCTCACTTGCTCACGAGAACCCAGTGTGCATATCTCCCCATGGCCTCTTGTTCGTAGCTTGAAATCAGCCATGCTAGGAGTATGCCTGTTTTTCCCACCCATCGGAGCACCACTGGGGGGAATAGGAAGTAAACTGATAGTTCTTTAAAAATGGTGGTTTGTTTTCACACAGCTAATAAAGACATACCCAAGACTGGGTAATTTATAAAGGAAATAGGTTTAATTGACTCACAGCATGGCCGGGGGGGCGTCAGGAAACTCACAATCATGGCAGAAGGGGAAGCAAACACGTCCTTCACATGGCAGCAGCAAGGAGAGGTGCCAAGCCAAAGGGGGACAAGCCCCTTATAAAAACCATCAGATGTCGTGAGAACTCAGTATCATGAGAAAGCATGGAGGTAACCACCCCTATGATTCAACATGGGGATTATGGGAACTACAGTTCAAGATGAGATTTGGGTGGGGACACAGCCAAACCATATCATGGTGTGATCACAAATATTTATCTGATTTCCTTCCCCAAACCCCAGTGGAATGGCAGTAGAGAACAAAATCATAAATGCATAAGAATTAAGAAACTATCTCTTAGATGAGCACAGTGGCTCACACCTGTAATGCCAGCACTTTGGGAAGCTGAGGTGAGAGGATTGCTTGAGCCCAGACGTTTGAGACCAGCCTGGGCAATATGGCAAGACGCTGTCTCTACAAAAAATAAAAACAGAAAAATTAGCCGGGCATGTGCCCGTAATCCAGTTACTTGGGAGGCTGAGGTGGGAGGATCACTTGAGCCCATGAATACAAGGCTGCAGTGAGCTATGATTATGCCACTGCACTTCAGTGTGGCAGAGAGAATAAGACCTTATCTCAAAAACGAAAAAGGGAGAGACAGAGAAAGAGGGAAAGGAGAGAGAGAGCAAAGAAGGAGAGATGGAGGGAAGAGGGAAGGAGGGAGGGAAGGAAGGAAGAGAGGGAGGGAAAGAAGGAGAGAGGGAGGGAAAGAAGGAGGGAGGGAGGGAGGGAGGAACTGAACTCTCTTTAAGTCTTGTCCATCAGGACAAAGAGGAAAGAGGTTTTAGTGAATTGGCGAAAATGGAGACTAGACAGGATGCTCCCTGATCCACCAGAGTGGACAGTGGGTAACTAAAGTGCCCACAGAGGACAGTGAGGGATATGGGGTACCTCTCCCCTCAGAACCCGAGTGTCTGGGAGGACGGGGGTGTAGTGTGAAGCTGACACTGGGTGGGCATGGCTAAAAGTCTGCATGCCTAATATTTGAGATCCCATGACGCCCTTCCAAACCATGCATGGCCAGGAGACTAAGCTCCCCGACCCTGCAAGAGTCGAGGGGTTTGTCCTCGAGAGAAAAGGAACCAGAAGGCTCTGCAGGTGGGCACCAGGTTAGGCAGGGACCTGGGGAAAGGTGGAGGGCTGAAAATGAGGATTAAATCAAAGTCTTTCCCCCTAAAGGTGGGACCCTCTGCCCCATTCCTCTGCCCTACTCCCAGCACAGAAGCAACCAAACTTAGAGCCTCAGGCAGGAAGCTGAAAACCTGCGCCATCCCAGAGACAAAACCTGTAGACCCTGGCATTGGGAGGTTGTCCAGCACCAGGTGGCTGCCTGGCTGCCCTGTTGTTCGTGAATGCTTTCAGTTGTATGTGTGTCTTACTTTCATAAAAGTAAAATCAAGAAAACATTAAATACACAACATCAGAAGGTGGTAAGTGCAATGCAGAGAATTCAGCTGGGCTGATGTGACGGAGTGCCCGAGGGGCTGCCCTAGGTGTTGGTCAGGGAAGGGCCCTCTGAGGGACCCCCATATGATTTGGGACAGAGGCAGCAGCTGAGAAAGCGGCCCTGAGATCAGCGCATGCTTAGTATTGTAGAACCAGGAGGAGGACTGTGTCTTGGGGTCAGGTGACGGGAGATGCATTTTTGGCTCCGGCTAAAATGAGATGAAAACACTTGAGGAACAGGTTTGGAGAGACAGTGAAGAGTCCTGCTTTGACCAGATTGATTTCGCGACTCCTGTGAAAGTGATACTGTCATGGAGGCATTGGAGGTGAGAGTCTGACACCGGGTTTGAGGAGTCAGGGCCGGAGAGGTGCATTTGGGCGGCATGGGCAAGTAGGTAACGTCCTAGGCAGGGGCCGCGGCGGCGTCCCGGCTGTCCGCCCTCCCTGCCCGCGCGGTGCAGAAGCGGTGTGAGGCGTGCGGGGAACACTAGGTGGCGGTGACGGCCCTCCTTCCCGCGAGCCCGCGGCCCGGACCCGCAAGGTCAGACCCAGACTTCGCGTTGGCCCAGATGTCCCAGGAAGGCCCGGGCGTGGCCATCTCAGCCACAAACCCAAGAGGTCCCTGGAAGCCTTTCCCAGAAGCTCTCCCCAACAGAAAGTAAAACAAGATGTGTGCAGCTCTGACAAGGCCAGGTTGCTGTCTGGCCACCCTGTCGTTCGTGAATGCTTTCAGTTGTGTGTGTATGTTTTACTTTCGTAAAAGTAAAATCAGTAAAACATTAAAATAAATACACAATAATATCAGAAGGTGACAGGTGCAATGCAGGAAATTCAAATAGGCTGCCATCCACCTGGGAGAAAGCCCTTAAGAGGAAGCAACCCGAGTCCTCAAAGAGGTGAAAACCCTATCTTGCAGAAAAGGAAACTGAGGCTGGGGAGGTGACAGGACTTGTTCAAGGCCACAGGGCCTGGAAGCCGCAGGACTGAGACTGAACCCGGTCTGGTCCTGGGTGCCTCCTCGTGGAGGAGAGAAGTGGGTGTTGCTGGAAGAAAACGAGCCAGTGTTCAGACCAGCGGGCAGTGACGCCAGGATGGGGTCCCCGGGCTGGGGACGCGGGCTCTGGATGTCCCGAGGCTTCCTGTTCTTTCTTACTCATCAGTGTAAGGCATCTGCATGAGGCTTTCATGTTGTCGAGCAGCCCTTGGGGTACCGCATCTGGGTGAGGAGCTAGAACTGAATTCATACCCAGGGCCCCTGACTCCCCGTCCAGTGGCCTTTGCACAAAGCGCCCAGAGGTCAGGCAGGGGTCTCTGCCGGGCCCCGCCCCCGCCCCGGCTCCAGCCCCGCCCCGGCTCCAGCCCCGCCCCCGCTCCAGCCCCGCCCCCGCTCCAGCCCCGCCCTTCTCCTTCCGCAGTTTGAGATCCGGCAGCTGCGCGCGCACCTCGCGCAGCAGGACCTGGACCTGGCAGCGGAACGCGAGGCGGCGCTGCAGGCCCCGCACGTGCTCAGCCAGCCGCGCAGCCGCTTCAAGGTGGTGGAGGCCGGCACGTGGGACGAGGAGACGGCGGCCGAGAGCGTCGTGGAGGAGCTGCAGCCGTCGCAAGGTGAGTCTGGGTCTTCACCCGGCCCCCGATGCCATGGCTGGGGGCGCCCCCTCGCCTCCCTCCCGCGCCCCGGGACTGTGCGCCGAGGGGCTGGGGTTCCAGGTTCCCGAAGGCGCCGCGGTTCCTTGCAGGTGTATGCCCCTCCTTCACCGTGACTGGGGAGCACCCTCAGATAAGTAGCCTCGGGACTGCCCGTCAGAGCCTGGGAGAGAGCATGTAGTCCAGCCACCCTGACCCAAACTAGAAATGACTCGTCCCCATTTTGTGCCTGTGGCCCCCGGCGTGCGTCGTGTGCGGTGTCTTCCCTGTCCTCGCAGCAGCCGTAGGAGGAGGTATGACTCTCCTGTTGTATGGCTGAAGAAACCGAGACCCAGGAAAGCCGTCCAAAGGCGCCTCGCTAATAAGTGGCAGAGCCAGTCTTCTTAGAGGTCTGGGGCTTCCTACTGGACTGCTATCCACCGGGGCCCAAAAAAGTTCAGGCCCGAGGCCAGAGCAGCCTGGACCCTGAGCCTTGCAGACGGTGGCAGGTTGATGGGAAGGTGATGTTAGTGGAGATGGGAACACGAGCCACAGCCCAGGGTAGGGTCCTGTATGGAAGGGAGTTATTTATTTCTAGATTCAAATCCCAACTCTTCTATCAGCCGTTTATGTGACGGGACTCTCTTGGGGCCTGGGTCTTGCCAGCTGTCAAATAGCAGTACTAAGGCTTCCTCACAGGACTGCTGCAAGGTTCCGCGGTTTGGGGAAACGCAGGGGGCCACCCAAGCCAGGAAATGGTGGTGCTGGGCTGGGAGCTCGGGCTGTGGGACCCCAAACCCTAGCTTCATCCAGGAGCCATTCTGCCTTGGCATGCTGTGACCCCTCCAGGGCAGCGAGGGCAGAGCCGGGCAGGCTGAGCAGGTCTGGAGGCAGGAGGCCCAGCTCCATGACTCGAGGTTTCAGTGTTCCCTTCTGTAAAATGGACTCATAACTCCAGCTCTGTCTGCCTCACAGGAGGTAGAGGTATGAGGAACCAATGGGTGTGAGAAAGCTCTGAGGGATGTGAGGCACTGCAAAACTGCACACAGGTTTTGGGAAACGAAGTGGTTGCTTTTTTTAGCCTGGTAGGGAAGACAAGGTCTCTCTTTTGGAGTGCAACTGTTATCATAACAGTTCACTGCCACCTCAAACTCCTGGGCTCAAGTGATCCTCCTGCCTCAGCCTCTGAGTAGCTGGGATTATAGGTACACACCACTACGCCCAGCTAATGTTTTTATTTTTGTATAGATGGGGTCTTGCTATTTTGCCCAGGCTGGTCTCAAACTCATGGCTTCAAGTGGATCCTCTTGCCTCAGCCACTGAAAGCGCTGGGTTTGTAGGCATGAGCCACTGTGTCCAGCCACTCTTCTGGGAGATCTTCAGAGCTTAGAAACATCGAATCTGGGGGCAAGAGGGGGCTTCTGGGTCCAGCCCTTCAGCTGATGTGAGAATTCCATCTATAACCCTATGAGCCGTTCAGCCTCAGCTCACCCTCCTCTAAGAATAGGTGCTTCATACTTCCCTGGGCAGCCCACCCCACCTCCACACGGCTCTGCCTGGAAGAAAATTCTTCCTCAGATTGCACCGAGGCCTGGTCCCTGGCCCCCTCCCTCCCCACCTGCCGTGGGTTTCACGCACAGGTGGTGCTGTCCCAGCTGAGACTGTTTGGAGATTGTTTCTCCTCCAGGGACCATCACCTGCATTCCCGCAGCCAATCCTCGGGGGACACACTCCCCAGTTCTTGCTGTACTGCCCCCTCCCGGAGCTCTCCACTGTTTTAGTCTCTCAGAATAACGTCCACAACTGAATGCAGTTACTGGGGAGCTGCCAGCCCAGGGCAGAATGCTGAGAGGCCACTCCTGCTTTTTTTTTTTCCTGGACCCGGGACCCCCACAATGCAGCCAGAAGGCTCCTGAGTTTGTGGGGACCCCCTAGCTGAGCTCACAGCTGACCCAGCCTCACGTCTTCCCACACAGCTCTGCTGAGCCCCGTGTCCCTGCAGCCCATCCTTGGGCAACAACAGGCCTTTTGTAGCCTCATGCAGAACCTCACGCTCATCAGTGTTCGGCTGTAGCTTGTTGATTCCTGCCTTGACTCCAGGGCTTGATAGGTCCTGATTTGCAACCGATCGCCAATTCCTGATTAATTGAAGCAGCCCCCTTCTTCATCTTCGTCGTTTAGCCTTTGTTATATCTGGACCTCACCCAGCTGCCTGCCCTCTGCCGTCTCCCCTCCCCCACCCCCACCATCAAGTGAGCATTCCAAAATCTTTCTTCCCACTCCCTGACTTCCTGCCTTTCCTGGTTCCGTGTCCCTCAGGAAAAAGTCCAAGCCCCTTAGGCTGGTGTATTAGTTTGCTAGGGCTGCCGTAACAAAATGCCACAGACTGGCTGGCACAAACTACAGAAATGTATTGTCTCACAGTGCTGGGGACTGGAACCTGAGATCAAGGTTGAGCCCGATTACTTCCCCCTGTGGGCGGGGAGCAAGAATCTGTCCCAGGCCTTCCTCGGGCTCCTGGTGGTGGCTTGCAGAAGCATCACCCTGCTCTGCCTTCATCTGCACATGGCGTTCTTCTGTGCACATGTCTGGGTCTAGATTTCCCCTTTTCATAAGGGCCCCAGGCATATAAGGGCCTCACCTTAACTAATGACATCTGCACCCGCCTTATTTCCAAGTGAGACTACATTCTGAGGTACTGGGGGTTAAGGCTTCAACATATGAATGAGGAGTGGGTACCCATTCAAGATCAAGGGAGCTTTTGCCCTTCTGCTCCATGGGAGGTTTCCATCCTCCCTGAGTTCGCCTTAGGACACCTGTGTTACCGTTCGGCAGGTGTACCCCTGATGATCTTGCCGCAGGCTGCCTCCCCAGCCTCATCTCCTTCCACCCCAGCTCGGCTTTCACTCTAGAGGAATAGAACAGCCTTTAGTTCTGTAAATGCTCTGTGAGGTCTCTGAATCTCTGCATGCTGTTCATGGGATGGCCCAACCTGCCTACCAGACTTCTCTTCATGCTTAGAATCCATCTTAGCGTACGCTCCCAGACCTCCATGCCCTCCCGTCGCAGCCTTACACCGACTTCCGACTCCCACCAGGTCCAGATACTGCCCCACTGCCATAAGTGTTTACGTGTGTCTCCCCTCTAGACTGTTTCAGGGCCTGCCTCGGTCTGGGTCTCAGCCAGGTCTCCATAGAGTTTGTTGCATTGAAGGTCATCTTCAAGCCAGTAACTGGTCAAAGTACAAAATGAGGCTCTTTGACATCACTTGTTCTGGTGTGGAGCCCTGCGTCTCCTATGGGAGCTGAGGCCAGTCGGCAGTAGTCCACCCCAGAAACCCCACTCTTGGCTTTCAGCCCCCAGGCTGGTGCTTGTGGAATCTGCCTTCTTATTCTTTTTGAAAGTTCTTCTGGAAGGTGGCAGCAACTTTTGCCCAGTTTGCCAGGCCTCCCAAGGATGAAAGTAGATTTACCATCTCACAGCCCATTCCAGGATCTTCCCCCATGACAGCCTCCTGGCCCTGCCCACAGCCTGTCTTGAGGCTGCAGCTCACCTGGGGCTTGGGCCTGCCCTGTGCTGTTCTTTCTGCAGGTCTAAGCACTTCCGGTACAGCTACTCTCCCCAGTACCTCTCTCTCTCTCTTCAGGGTCTTTAGCTTTAGAGCTAATAGCACGGCCCTTGTTGTCCCTCAGCCAATTACCTACAAGATACTGGATGCCAGATGCCACATTTGAGCCCACAGGGAACCAAGATCTGGGCTTGGAGGGTCCACAAACAAACCAAGCCTTTAAAACCCTCCTGCCCATTCTAGCAGTGCTTTGAGGCTTTCAGTCCTGCCCCTCCCTCCTGCTCCTCCTCTCTGGGCAGCCCCTACAGTGGGCAACTTCCAGGAGGAGGAGAAGGGAGGCAGGGGCAGAAGGCAGAAAGCTGGGTCAGCGTCGAAGCCCACTCAGGGGAAACTGATCAGCCATGTGTTACCAGCAGGATGTCACGGGGTCTGCACTGTCCCTGCTCACCCTCCTGGAAACAGGGTAGGGGTTATTTGGACAAGGCAGACTCAGGCCTCCCATAGAGAGGGGAGACATGCACCCTGAAAGCAGGTGCAGATGCCTCTCCATCCAGCCCTGGGGTCCCCCCTGGCCCGCTCTTTCCTGCCTTTTCTGGGGCATCCCCTGGGTACCTCCCAGCTCTCTGGCTGCTGCCTGCCCCTGCACAACCAGCCCCAGAACACCCACAGCAAAGACAGAGGGCAGAACATGGGGTTGGCAAGGGCACCCATGATTCACAGCTTCACGTGGTCCAGGGACACAGGGCATCCCCCAGCTGATCTCTCCTTGACCAGGAGCTGTGTCCAGGGAGGGATTTTCATGACGTTAGAAATTATGGCTGGACAAGCTAAGAGCACTATAGGCCACTCTGGAGATTAAGTAAGGGCAGTGTTTGTTGCTAACTGTGACCTTCAGGCCAGCAAGGCTCTGAGGCTCACCTTGTGCACAGTGGGACACAGACAATCCAGGGATTAACCTGCAGACCGGAGCCGAGTCAGGGAGCCTCGGGAGGGGCCTGCAATTTGCGGGGTGGGGGAGGGCAGCCTGGGAGGGCGGGTTGCCAGCCCCAGCCATGAGGAGGAAGTGGCTCCGCAGTCTCAACAGTTGCCAGCAGGTCACAGTCAGACAACGCCAAGCAGCTTCTGTTTAGACTTGCTTCAGCACAAATCATTTTTAAAACCTGGGCTGCAGAGTTCCAGGCTTTGGGGCCTGCCAAGTTCACAGTGCCCCTGTGTAGTCATTAATACTTCCCTCCCAAATTTATTAGTCCTGAAGCTCGCCCATAACTTATGAATTACAGCTCCTGGTGGGAGTGCCACGCATCTCGCCATATATCACAGGGAACCTTTGCGTCCCCCATGCTGCTGCAGCCTCCAGAGACACTACCACGGGGGTGCACCCGGCCAGCCTGCTCTGTGCCTGCCCTCTGCCAGG